GGTATCAGACCACGACCAGTCCCAAGAGCACGCCAACGATCACTTCACTTCACAATTGTCTATACCAGCAAGTTGCAAAATTCAGGAATGGGCCTTGTGTTGTAAGCAAAATGTGCGTGTCAGTCCGTGTTATGCGACCACGTGAGTACTTACGTGCAAATGAGTTTTAGCCATTTGGGTTGGCACAAATGATGGTTTTAATTTCGTAGACGAGTAGCCAATGGGCCACTAACCGTGGTCTCCCACCTACACTGCTCATCATCATTAATGCTGCAGTTGGGTTGCTCGGTGACCACAAAAGGGTAGGCCAAGCAGAAGTCCACGCCATATTGACAGTTCAAGCAGCTACCTGCACCACCTTTCAGTGGCTTAATGAGATAATCCATGTCCACGTAAATGAAAAGGATCACTTCTTCACCATTTAGCCCTGCGTCTTGTAAATACTAGCAATATTATTTTTGAGTACGCTCTTAAACTTAGTCGGGATAATCCGAGTGCAAAGAGGACACGTCAAAATAAGATCTCCGGCCAGGATTATGCATATTCTTTTGCAAAACAATGCGTAACAGTTGAAGGATTGTGCTTTTCTAGATTAGCACCAAGTGCTGATGTCAACCAAGTGTCCTTTAAACGAATGGACCTAAAGTATTGGAGAATGGATGACTGCTGGTAGTTGAGAAATGCAAGGATAGCTCACGGATGGAGAAGGATTTGGAGGAAACAACTAATGAGTGTAGGTTGGAACTTGAGCCTCTCCTACTTGCCTGCCAAGTAAGGCATTTGTGCAATTATTGCGCCATTCCACGAAGGAGAACAATGGCCTACTCAATCACCTTAACCACTTGCATGTCTTTGCATACCGCTACTTATCTTCCCCACGCTTCTCTCTTCATATGTGTTAACCAGTTTTACTTTGTGTTCTCCATAGGAAGATGCCTCAACAAGCGGTGAGGCCACCTTTTGGGCTCTACATGCCCTGCTTTGCGTTATTCACCTCCACTCCTTGCTTCAACGCCTTACGTGATTGTCGCAGCTGTGAGTACAATAGCAACCTACATAGCTCTTTATGTGTTTAGCTTTTGTTCTCCATAGGAGAATGCCTCAACAAGTGGTGGGGGGATGGTTTCTGCCTGCATGCTTGTCATTCACCTCCACTTCATGCTACAAAACCTTAAGCGGTTGGCACAGCTCAGTGCACAATGAGACGTACCATAATCACACAGACAAAGACGTGGATGCAAATTGGATTTGGTGAATTGCGTAAGTTCAATGCATTCAAGTAATACAATTACCGTACTCCGCTTTTTGAAGACGCCTTTTGATACACCCAACTTGGGTGGAGCCACACCTGCTTGTCACCACTGATGAGTCGAATGCTAAAGGGTGAGGCACAAGTATGATGTGGATTAAATTGATGGCTGGTGGAAACATCACCACTACTCACACCTCATGCGCAGTTGTCAATGTGGTTGGATTTTGTAGCCTTTTGCTCTGCTTCGACATTCACTCATCTTCGTTGGCACCTTCTCACCTCGCTGATTACTGCCATTGCAGAACCTGTCTTGCCGCAAGTTCACTATCCCCATGTGGATTAATTGTACTGCCGCACTAGGGAGTGGATTGCACGCATCTGCTTGACGTTGGAGTACGTCCACTTTCTCCTCCTCGCTGAGCCGCCTTGTCTGCGTTATGCGGCCAAGGCAGCTATTGTGGTGCCGCCTGGCATCGGGCACTGGCTCTGTACGCGACGCTGCTGTGCGCCTACGTGTCGCAACAACCGTGGCTACGGTAATAGCCGGTTTTAACAGGAGTTCTCATGTGCTAGAAGGCCGTATAGCGGTGCTATCAGGTGATAGTGGTGATGCTGCTGGTGGTGGCGGAGCTAACTTGTGCATATTAAAGAATAATTTTTGGAGAAATTGGTGAGCTGATAGAGGAAGAGGGTAAAGATAGGCCTTAAAAGGTTTGACAGTGCGTCCCCGTGCAACGAATCCTGTGCAGAGCAACATCTGATGTCTGTGTTTAAGTCGTTATATTCTTCGTGTATTGGCCTCCACGGGAGTAGCTATTCCGCTGATTTGAGTAGGTTGCAGTAAAACCTTCCGTTTAGTTTATCTAAATAATTGACTATCATCGCACTATCTTACTATTGGTTGGCATCAAAGTGGCCGTTGAATGGACAGGAGGCGGCCGGCTCGTTAATATGACGCCTTCAAATAGTGACACTGGCGAAACATGCCTGCTTTTCCATGTTGGAAACAGTGACGACAGCCCAGTCAATCGTGGCCTCAAATTAGGTGGCAGTTCTGATTGTCAGGAGATGCTACAATTCCTGTTGCACTTCCACGCACTTCTTCATGGATATTTGCTTCTGCGATTTGATTTGTTTAGCTCTATGGCTAAGACCACAGGCACTCTGTCCTCCTGTGCTGGTTGCACTATCACTGTCCTCTGCCGCATAGCATGTGGACCATGCCACTAGTGCCCCCAGCTCTTCCATACGTCAGCGATGTCTCTTCCTACGTAGTGCTCTAGCTTATCACGACCTCCCAATCTAAGGCAGATTCAATGCCCTCCTTACCCGCCCAAAGAGTTGTCAATGGGTGGAGTTGTGCCAATGGAATTCGTCCAGGCCTTGCTATCCAATGCATTGGACAGATGATCAAATTCTGGATTAGTAATGTATACTCTGCCAAAATACTGTAGCGTCCCAAGACTTCCCTGAAGGCGAAAGAAGACACAATACTCGGGCAGAATATATACATTCAGCACAGAGGAGGTGTTTGGGCTACTGGCACGTCCCGAAAAGGCCAGCCCAGCCAGCGAGGTACAAGAAGGCAAGTACAAAGGTCCGAAACTAGCGCCTCACCAGTACCGAGGGACGAACCACCATCGCATTACAATAATATTATGTACAGTCTAGCCGAATGTCAATTTGCACGGCTTAAATGTTATGTCAAAATGCGGTAACACTACCTTCTAAAATTAGTGTCCGTGTATCTAAACAAAGTTTGAAATCACCGCAGTGTCAAAATTTTGTACGTTTGATCCTCATAAGACTTATTCTAACTTCATTAGCTCGGATATCCAGCAAAACGAACAGCCAGCTATGGAAACTTGTAAATTTGCACAGCACAGCTTTCCACTAGCCCCTATTTTTACTGGTTGGTTGACAATGCGTAATGCTGACAGTATTTTAGAGGATTTTAAATCCTCTACTTGCCCAGTGAATCTTTATGCAATGGGTAACATGCAATTTTGGGACTTTAATGTCTATCAACTAATTTAACTTATTGGTTACAAGTTCACAGTTATACGATATAAAGACGAAATTAATACGTAAGCACTGTAATATTCTTGCGGTCCTAACCCCCTTCCTGCTATGTGATATTTAGTAGTTGAAAAATATCGTTTAGGTAACTGCATCTTTTTAGCATAATCTTTGGATTTTATGAAAAATCTATTTTTTTAGGGGTTTAATGATGTACCCTCCCTTGGAAAGAGACGATTTCTACCTGCCTGCCATCAATGAGGTGTATTTAATACAACGTACAACATTTTCTAGTACTTTACTTGTTTGTAAAAGACTTTTGTTTTAGTCAGGTGGGCACTTAAATCTCTGTCACTGTGCTTCCGTTAAGCGACATGTTCCATAAGCCACACCAGTAGTCTGTTAGCCCTTTCTTTTGTTGAAATCCTCATTTTCTGCAATAGTAATATGATTATTCCTCTGTTAAGCGAGATTTGAAGCACCGCACCGTAGTAATTCAAAAGTGAATAAAGGAATGCGCCACTGGCATTCTTATGACGCACGCACGCAGATCCAAGCAAATGTAGCAGATAGTATGCAATCTTTTAATGGGTAACTTAACTTTCGTCTTCAGTACTGAGCCACTTAGGGTCTCCGCCACTTCAATTCTACGAACTGTCTAGCCTGCGACCCATACCAGTAGCCATAAACCCTTTTGTAGATCGAATGCATATATTCCGTCGGATTATAATGTCCACCTTTGTCTTCAGAGAAGTCTTGGTATGCCGCATTAATGGAAGCGGAAAGCAAACCCTATTTTAGAGTAAAACTATCTTGATTTCTACTGCTGGGTGATAAATCTTATCAAAGCGAGAAAGATGGATAGGCTACAAATGGAAAATCGGTGAATACCCACGAAAGACGTGCTGAACATGACTTTCTGTGTTCTTTAGAAAAACTATTAAAAACCGAGGCGATACTAGCCTTGAATTATTTGAAAAAGTTTTATGTGGGATTATCTACCCTGCCTGCGTGCAGACTATTTCCTCCAGTTCTCCACTGGTTATGTAGAACTCAGATTAATATGGCTGGACAGCATTGAGGTGAGAACAAAGAGGAAAGGTGGAATAGATGTGAAACCCTATCTCCAAGAAACCATGATAAGACTTGTTATTATCTTGTGTGACTCTGCCCTTGGGCCAGTGTTTGTAATACTAGTAATGGACAAGCATGCTGGCCAGCCAATTCCCACGTCCCCCGATACAGTTCCAATATAGGAAAAAAACCAACATCTAGTAGAGTTACCAAAAGATGTCCGTAAAGTTGCACACGGGTACCTGCTTAATTTTATGAAAATTATGTGATTGCTGTAGTGTATCTCAAAGAGTTCCGATTTTGTTGTGATGTTGTAATGTTTCTAAATCTCTTAGTAAACTTAAAATTCTAGTTCTTTGGAATATACCTTATTTGGCGACAAGGAACGATCTTATGTCAGTTTCATGCCGATGTTAGTGGCCAGCAAAATTGTAAATACAAAAAAAACTAAAACCCGAAAATTTTTGCCTTCAAAAAAATATTAAAATTTGTCTGTATCTTTTTGTTACCAACTGGTGTTTTAAGTTGAACAACGGTTCTCAGTGGGAATTTTTGGTGATTGTAAGTATTTAAGCCTAATATAAATACTTAAAGAGGGCCTATTTAAAGAAAAAATCTTTTTAATAGTTATATGACTGCATAGGGGTTTGTTTTTGTTCATAAACTTCTCGTACAATAGTGACCCAGAATCGCTGTCTGCTTTGAATTATTTGGCCCACAGGTGCTGTACGTTGTTCACGATTGATTGATCACCTGACTTTTAGTTTTTCCTTTGTCCTTTAACTTTTGAACCTTTTACCTTTCTGCGGAACCTTTGGTAGTGATCCTTCTGTTACTATGCACGAAACGCCTTGGCTTTTTGACCAAGTATTACTTTAAGATATCTAGATTCAAATGTACTCTGGGTGATACATCATCATCATAGTATTTGATCTAGATTTTGCAATTCAGCAATTTTAGCTTTAGGTTTGACACAAGTGACTGCTGATGTCCTTCATCCATTTTGAAAAAACTTTGATGTCTAATGAGCGAATACTTCATCTATAAATTAACATAATGCATCACGAGCATTTGACCTAATGCCCTTGGTGCCTCTCATATTTCTTAAGTTAAGTTTTCTAATAAAAACTGCACTATATTTTGGTTTTGTAACATAGTGCCTGTCATTTCCCGAATTTTGCAGTGAATCTGTTGTGCATTTAAGACCCATTATTATTCTTCTATCGTCTACTATTGCTGCATACCTTGGGCTTAGATCATTTTTTGCAAGTAAGCAAAATGGCATTGAAATTTCTTTTTGATCATTTAACGAGGTAGTGAATTCTGGCTAACTAGTAATTTGCAACCGATGTATCCACATCCCGTTAGAACATTTATTTACCTGTTAGCAATAAATTTTGAGCCTTTTGGAGCTGCTCATATCGTATCCATTTTGTTAAAATCAGTGAAACCATGAGTCACCAAGTCTATTAGTTTATCAATTCTTCATACCTTGATTTCGCCTCTCAATATTTTCAACATTCTACTTTTATGCCCAAATAAATAGTTCGAGAAAGGAGATCGCTGATTTTATAAATGTTACTGATCCAAACTGGACACCGCAAATAATTTTTTTGCTCCTCAATTAGGAGGTTGTCTAGGATTGCACCTCCAATTCATGTGCAAATGTGTCCAAAATGGCTTTATAATAATTCGTACAACATTCTAAATAAACGGATACCACGTATTGGTTGCATTTTTACTTGCTGTTTAATTCAACTCAAATATTGCCGAATTTATTTACAATCTCTGACGCAGAATCTATTGCCACAGAGTTAGAAGAAAAAACCTACCACCACCTCTCCGAATCCTTTTGGTTTGGCATGACTAGCCCCACCAAACTAACTAAAAGTGAAAAAAGTCCCAATCATTCTCTATGGTTCAACGACACTCCTTACCTAACAGCATACTAATCTGTAACAGTTTGCGGTAGTCACTAGCCATTGTCAAATGATTATGGACGCATGTCACGCATGTGTGACGCCGGTGGCTAAAATTTATAAAAACATCGAATTAGAAAGAATTTTACCATTTTTGGAAAAGCCGACCCTTAGTAGATAGCAGTGAATTACGGAGGTTCAAATACATTGGAACTATGGCTAGGTTCTGACACCTTCAACAAATTCTGCGAAGTGAATTATTTCAAACATCGGATTTAAGAAAATATGGATCGTTGGATTTGTGTTAATGATAAAGAGGGCCTCAAGATTCACTGGCATATCATTTACTTTTAGGGACTCCTAGTTGCTGCTATCGCCTTCCTTCACAGGTGAACTTATATATTCCGTAAATGATTGCGTTGTGGTGTGTTCACTGTTTTTTTTCCATGGAAAGGCTTAGCTCTCCTTCAAATTAGCCCACGATTAGGTTTTGTAAGGCGTTTTACCTTCTAAAATGAGTGTTTACAGGCTCTACTGCTGCACTGTGTGTCGAGAACTAACCACCATGGTGGTGATCATCAGTAACGCACAGATGTTGAAAAAGGAGTGGCTAAGCACCTCTTATTATCCTTAACGTGCTTTAGCTTTATGCCTGCAGCCTCATTCGGCATCTCAAAATCTCATCAGCAGTTTGTTTAAACCACCAACTGTACTGAACAGTGTGGTAAAATGGTCATTCGAGTTTAAGGCTGAACTGGACACCAAAGGCCCTAAAAATCCCCCTTTAAGCACACTTGGGGCAAAAAAAGCCACGCGTGCCTCTAATCAAAGAAAAACTTTTCAATTTCATCGTCCTATCGACTGCTTATGGGCCATAAAGTACCATTGCTGCTCAACTGGACAAAGTAAACAACAGCAAGAGTTAATTAAAAACTTCCCTTTGCAATAAAGCAAAAAAATGCATCATTGCACCTAAAAATCCACCTAAAAAAAGGTTTTCTAATTTAATTTTAAGAAAGAATTTGGAATATTAGTGATTCACAAGCTCAAGTATAGCTGCAATTTGATGCCACAAGAAAAGTCACTTTAAGCTCTTCCTTTACAGCACAGTAAGTGTCCACTAGGAAACAGAGCAAACCCAAACCATTCAAGGATCAAGGCTAGTGGTTTGATGGCTGAAATGCCTTTTAACCCCTCCAATTTGAAGGTAATTTTGGGGATGTGTGTTACTGAATCACACAACTCGTATGCTACTTAATTCATTTCCAGTAGTTCAATCACCCAGGCCTATATTTTGATTGCGCACCACGGCTGCTCCAGACGTGTCGAGTCCCAAGAAAAGGGAGAAGTTACCTCATATCTTCCGCAAATGCACACGGGAGTCCGTATATCTGGTCATTAACCTAGGTTTGTTCGTAGGTTCGGGACGTTAAGTAGATCTTGAAAAGCGCAAATACCATGGCGAGAGTCTACGTCAATGAAGTGTTGATCAAGTAGTGGAAGTTTGGATGTCCTGCTTATTCAGTGTTCATTTACATGATATCCGAATTCTAAATGTCGGTTGTAAGGCTCTCTGCAATTCTTCCTCTGCTAAAGGGCCTTCAAGGTTTTTTGTTTTATAAGGTACTTGGGCTACGCATTTCCAGTACAACTAGAGCGTGGAAATTTTCTTCTCTCTAGGTGTTAATGTTTACGAATCTTATGTTTTGATCACTTTCTTGCTGTCTCTTTGACTGATGCTCACCTTTTTTAGGCTACAGTTAAAGTGCAAATTGGAAGCGCCCCTTCTGCGGACGTCCTCAGACCGCTCAAGTCACATTGCTTTTTCCAAGAAACAAAGATCGTTTCCTAAAAGACTGGTTTTAAGTAAATCTTTATTTTTTTGGTTCTTTGCTGATTTAGCTGTCCATAAAAGGTGCCTTCCTTCTACATCCAACCAGGTAGCTCATCGCTTAAAGGCGAAACTACATCCACCTATGGCCAACTACGCAGATTTCCCACCTCTATTGACTGGTTTGCTTGTGATTGCCACATGTAGAGGATGAGCGTGAGGCAACATCCCCTTCCTTCCCCTATGACGGCCAAAGCGCTCCATGGAATGCTATGTTTTCTTGGATAAAGGTCACTTCCAATGATTAGCCCTTTCCTTCCACGATTCTGAGTGCGGAAACCGTCTTTTTGAAGAAGGTCCAATCTCCAGGGACGAGGTGGTGCCTGTCTTAGAAATGTGTAATGAATTACTGCATCCTTTTGAGACTAACCATTAATAATGTTCCCGAAGTATCTGACCTACTCAGCTGATGGAGTAAGCAAATGGCCTCTGGTCATGAGGTATTAGGGCTTCTACTGATGTACGAGTGGACGAGGAGCCTGAGTGCATGGATAACAGTAACAAGGTTGCTATGCCATTGTTGTGAAGATCAAATTTGACTTGTCTGTGCATATTTTAAGATTTCACAACGTCTCTGACTTTTCAACCTAATTTTATAATTAATTCCAAGCGTCGTATATGCGTGAAAAAAGCTGTTCATCAGTCAAAATGATAAAAATCGTGTGGTAATGTTTATGAAATGGTGCTATGACAACCAAAACTACTTTCACTTTTTATTTTCCTTCCATTGTGTGTGACGCAATGGTAAAGCAAGAGTTGTGCTTGAAATTAGGCACCGCGATGACAATCCCATCCCTGAAGTCTATAAAAAAAGTCCGGATTTTTATTGTCCTGCTACTGCGTCACCTTGAGTTGTATCACCAAGTCCGGAAGCTGCTGCGTCTTGTCTAAAGTTTTGTCTTCCGCGGCAGGTATGAAACCAGAAACAAACTCGCGCTAGCTTCTAGAGGGTCAGAAGTTGATACAACTGAACCATCAACGCCAAGATCTAGAAGTGACTTTATTGTTGAGAATAACTATGGATGGTTTGAAATCGTTCCCTGGATTATTCAAGACTCGTTGAGTCTAGACCAACTATATTTGGGAAGCTAAGCTGGATTATTTCTACCCGTGGTGTGGACAATTTTGGAGTGCTGAATCATGCAGTCATCCACATTAAATTTCCAGCTCCACGACTTTAGATAAAGTGACAGATCTGATGATTATTTTGAGGATGTGGACGAAATTTTACAGCTCCACCACTGAACTGTGGGTGTGTACGTGAAACCGGATTTTTCCACGAGAACGGCACACTTAACCGCTGAAAATTCATCAGCGTCCGACACAACGGCCGCTCAGGAGGCTACATCTGGATACCGCCGCGACATTGCTACTGTGCCGGGGAAAATGCGCCGTCGATTTTGCAAACCATCAGTAAGTCAGGCTGCTAAGGTCACCACCAGAGTTGGTGGTAGACAAGTAAGGTTCTCTGGACGCCTTTAGTGGGGTGTACACTTCCGTGGCATGTCATTCACCAGAATGTGTCAAATCACGAAGGCAGATCTGGAGGAGCTACCAATCAAGGTCATATGTAAGCAAATACATTTCACTGCTATGTTTTTCTAACAGTCGGTGCCAATGTTTAAGAAATTTTCCAACCGGAACTTAGTCATTTCACCGTAATACAAGTCGTCGCATATCTCAAATCAAGTGCTGCACTGGTTTTTTGTTCGAAGAGATCGGTCACCTATGCTTCACTGTCTAAAACTAAAGAAAAAATTCAAAGACTTAGGGGGGAAAAAGTTCTGACTCCACTTCCCCACTCCAAATTGGCTGTAATTATTGTTTTGGCCAGAAGAACAGACGAATTTGTCCTAATATGTGCTGATTTATCCACTGGTCTCAATACAGCACCTCAGGAACGCCATTACCCGCTTTCCACCGTGGAGGACTTGTCCATCATTCTGGAGGGCGAAAAGTGTCAAGTCCTGTTCCACTACAACCATCCACCTTGCCAGCAATGCACACGATCCTGTCGGCGTCCCTGGAAGTCTCATTGCGGGAGCTACTTCCAGTGGCCTACACGATCGAACCGTGCCTGCGCTAGAGCATGTTCAAGAGCATGAGCCTCATTTATGTCCTAAGAAGTACTGATTCTTTATAAATCTATTGAGAGTGAGTGTTTCCTCTTTGCGGTCGCTGATCTCTACGTCGAACAGGTAGCAATCCACTGATGCCACCTTTAAAGGAGGCTACCTCGCTCCGTTTGTCTCAGATTTGTGAGCTCCACAGTATCTGGGCCTTTCTGACCATCTTGCTTTGAAAGGTCATCCTATGGACCCATGCAATTGGTCAGACGATTCCGAGTCCGCCTTTCTTTAACTAAGGAGTATGCTGGGCTCAAAACTCCCGCTGGCTAATTACAGTCCAAAGCTACCAATCACCGTAGCTGCAAACACCTTCATTTACGTCTTTTGAGCTGCATTACTACAAGCCTCTCTGGATGGGACCGAGAAGACTGCCTTGTACGCTTTGAAGACACTAAAGTCAGCTGAAAGGTGTTGCGGTAGCAACGCTTTGTGGTGAGGACGTCGCCACGCATCCCTTTACCCATGCTATTCGGACTCTCCAGACGACGGCTACCGAAGTTCCCGAGATGACAAGGCTCAACGACATGCTAACTCAGCCAATATGCTTTTTTTAGGAGTAAGTGACTGCTTCGGTCGCCAAGCGATGACCTCAAACCGCTACTTCACCATAATGACTCACTGCGCAACCCCGAAGAGCACCTAATCCTGGTGTAAGCAGGTGGAAGCACATCACCAAAAGTTTCGTGTGCTAGACACGCATGGATGAGGATATCGCCGATTTTGTTCAAAGCTTTCGGCAATGCCAGCAGACCCATCGGTAACTTGGCCTCCAGCCAGAGAAGCCTTGGTCACGACTACACCTCGATTACCCCGGTCCAATTGATCGAGTCTTGTACCACGTTTTGGTGGATGCTTTTTTTAAGTGACCGGAGGTAGCATCTGTGATCCCTTGTGTGACTATAAAAATACTACAGTTATCACAAAAATCTCCAACGACAGATAGAAGAAAGTTCCATTCCGCAAAATCGTACACCGTCATTGCTACACCCAGACGAGCACTAGTGGAGTCATAAGTAGAGAAGGTGACTGTTCTACTGACCTACTGGACTCCTCGGAATGGTATCGCCTGAAACCGCCAATCACCAGGTGATTAAAACAGCCATGGTTCCAAGGCCAAACAAGAGGAATAGCGGCTGCATCCACAATTGCCAGCCGGATATGATTGAGGAATTGCCGGGATGGTTTTGGTTCCAACGCGGAGTAGTCACGTTCGACGTCAAGATGGGGCGAGACAACTAGATGAAGTACCATAATCAAACGCGCCTCCGACACACCAAGAAATCACCATATTAACACAGGTTCACCTTCACTAGTAGATTTTGTTGAGCCATCTTTGTATACCATGATGGTAGCTCGGTAGATAAAGGCAACAAGTGGACCCTTAAAATTGGCGCTCTTTGGTTCTTCCGCAAAGGTGAGAGGTGCTGGGGATACCTCTAGTCTTAGAAAAAATGTTCCTGTCTGTCTTTTTTACAAGTTTGTATTTCTCAAATAAGATGGAATGGCGCCTTCTCCTTCACTTCATCCTGATTGGCTGAAATTACAAAAGAGATATACTTTAAATACACTACTACTCTTTGTAGCATCAAGATCATCCAAATACTATAAATAGACGAGACTGTAGCAACCCCCATGTCTCTTTCACTCCCCACTCATGAGCCATTTGGCGTGTACGTCCGCACCGTATCCCCTCCTCTGCTCATATCCGTCGGTAAGGAGATCTGTATCAGGTTGAGTGCTTGACAGAATCCAAACTCATCCTCTCAGACATCAGTTCTTAACGTAAAGGTGATTCTGCGATTGACTACTAAGGTTACAGCGACCTGCTTCAGATGTGTGGTTCACTTTTCTCACGAGCGTATGAAACTTACCGCATTTACCAGGATCCAGGTTACCAAACTTCAAATTTGGCGGTGAAACTTTTGCCTCCGATTTTTATACCGAAGTAAAGCCAGAGTCCAGAAATGACAAATCTTATCCAATCGTCATGAGGACATTAGTTGTTTGGATCTCCACCTTCAGGACTCGAAGAGTTGGACGCCAGACTACAATACGTTCGATTCCTCCTGCGGACAGGCGCGTGTGCTTGCAGGAGATATGGGAGACTCACACTTAAGGTCTCACAGGGAAATAATAAGACCTCAGGTGATGTTGTGGGGGGATTTTCCTTCACGATTCTGGAAAAGAAGGGGTTGACAAAAGCACATCTGCCTTCCAATTGGCCCACCTCGCAGTGCTGACCTGATTTACTGCAACTTTCTCATCAGGCCAGTCATGCAAGTGACATCCTTCTAATCAGAAGGCTCAATATATAGCTTGTTCACTACGAAAAAAGGCACCTTTTTAGTGCTTTATAATTTCTCCTTCTTTCTGTCCCACTTTTGACTACTTTAAATCACTGCCAAAGGGGAAACTGTTGTGAACCCGTGATGGGCATTAAGTAGTGGAAGTCTCTCATCTTCCAACGTAGTTATTCAAGTCCTCACTCCCTCTCCATCCCCTTCCCTTCGTCCGATTGGGTTGCAGCACTGCGGGCGGATGCTTAAGCATTGCCAGTGACTCGTTTGTCTTGCTTTGCTTTTAATGACCTCTAATATGTTGCCTTAGAGGTGATGCTACACGCTCATGACTTCGGCGTTCCTCTGAGGCGCCGTTAACCAATCAGTTCTAGATTTGGCTCACAACCTCTCCCCTTTTTTTTTCTTGTGAGAGTACTAGGCGGAGGGGAGAAATCGCCACTTTAACTGGGAGAGGTAAAACAGTTCAGCAGATATGTTTAGTCTCCTCATTCCCCTTGCCAATTCAAAAAACGTAAACGGAAGTGAAGAAGCCCATCCAACCTTTCACTAGGAGTACTGACTTTTCACACAGAATTTACAAGTTATGCAGTGAGGAAAAAATACTGCCACTTCCGATATTGCCTTTCCGACAGCTTCACTACGTGTACATCGGTAGTGAATGGCGTGGCCATACAATTACGTCGCCAGTATTTCCACGTAAGCAATCATCCACAATCAAAGTGTTCTATTACTTAGTAGATGGCATCAACATACATGCGCCTCGAACACATTAAACCTTTGTGATGAGCGACTAAGGGGTAGGAAATTCGTGGCGTCACATATATGTGACACTAGTAACAATCACACACAAAACAACTTTAAAATACCGAATGCCTCAATTGTTTGTAAAAGAATGAATGCCGATATAAGGGAGGGTGAGAAAGAGGTGTAAAAGGAGAGACTGAATTGTTAGGACAAATAAAAGTAGCGAGAATAGTTTTTGTAAATAACGTATACTAATAGTTGGGAATGGTGGGATTAGAGAGTGGGAGGAGGAGGAGGAGAGAGCAGATACTCGTCTACCGGAAAATAACAGACGGGTTAGGATTGCTCACATGAAGACACTGAAATGGCGTACATGCTATTTGAAAAAGGGGGAGGAGAAATTGAAGTCGAGTGGATTGTAAAACCTACGTGGAATTACGTGCACGCCACTTAAGGACAAAAAAACCGAGAACACGCAGTGCAAAGAAGAAGACAATGAGCACGGTTATATCGATGCCATAATGATAGTGACTGACGCTGAGCAAAGTGAGCACTGACTGTGGATCCGCCATACAGGGAAAAACTAAAATTGAAGTTGGCTTTTTGGAACAGTTCAGCTCACTTCGATTATTGCCATAGATACCCTAAAATGTGGTATAATGAAGTAAGTGTTGACAAGATCAGGGAAACTGCTTAGAGGCCACTAACCTTCATTGACCCCTCAAAAGCATAGCGAGTGAAGGAGCTGTAGGAGAGCCATTGTAAGTACTTTGGAATTGTGTCCAGAGTGATGAAGAATCCCGAGAAGAGGATTATCGGAATGCCTGTTGCGGGACCCAGAAAAACGGATACCTTCAAGGAGGTGAGGAATAATACAGGAAATTTAAGCATTGCTTGGTACTTTATGGGTGGATCAACTCTTGAAAGGTCATCCAACTACGGTTTGTCATTGTCTTAGTGTTAAAAACTAGATATTGCCATTGTAGAAGAGAAGCAAGCTCTGTCGAATTGAACAACACCATGGAAGGGTAGTCATTTACCGCGGACGAACTGGGGAGGGTGGACGAGGAAATCCAAAAATACTCACAAGGGACTGACCCTCAAAGCCGAGCTCACACCACTCTTTTGTCTCCGCTTCCACCTCCACGCCGCGGTATGACCGTGAAAGGGGCAGCACTTTAAAGTCTACACACGAAGCTTTTACAAGTAGAGAGGCTTATTCCATAATTCGCCCACGTAATACTCCCCAATCTTCTTTCCTCCACGTTGCTTTGAATTGATCTTTCGCACAAAAACCAGCTAACTGATAAATAATACTAGTCGTAAACCACTGTTTGGACTTGAGCTCTACCTTTTTTCGCTCCATGCAGCTCGTCCTGGAAGCGATACGTTGTTCAGGCAATTTAATTAAATTTATAATGCGTGCTACTCATATTATGAATTAAGTAGCATCCCTCCTATGATGCACGGCTATCGTGTAAACTTTATCCTTGTTTCGGGGTTAATCTCAACTTCCAGACGAGTTTGTTTAAAGTCAACGCTTAGGGTGACATCTTAATGGTGAAGGAGGGGAGAGGGAGGGGGAGGCGAGAGGAATGAACTATGTGGGAGGGGCTCTTCGCACTCCATCATCACTAAAGTCCGCTGAATGTCAATAAATAAAGTAAAATGTTTAAGAAATTTTTGTCACTAAGGTGCATTTAAAAGTACCTCAAGATCAGTAGATGCACCAATGAGCAGGCCTTGGGCTTGTGCCACAAAAGCAGTTAACACGAGCATGGTAAGGAATATCATGAAACGATTGAACTCCAGAGGTTGATCAGTCATGAAGTAACCAATCATACCGTAGATGACTGCAAATAGTAACTAAAATGGAAGGGAATAAAAGTGGGAATTAGGCAGGTGACAGTATTTACGCCACCATAGTCATGACATCCAACACTGTCACAACCCAACTCTACTTAACTAAACTGTCTACGAACCAGTTTGATGCAACCAGTAACCACCATGACGCGATTAAGAAGATGTGTCGAATATTTGTGAAGGAAGGTGGAGAGGAGAGCCAGAGATAGGAATACCTGTGTGTCACCTATATGTGACACTAGTAATAATCGGTCTGCTGTAATGGGCTGACCTCCGGCGACGGTGGCTGAGGTGAGGCCAGTCCAGAATGTCAAAAAAATTGACTACGCTTTATTGCTCTCCCCTTCGTGAAAACCAAGCTACAATTAGATACCCTTCAGCACGATACTCAGGTATCTCATTCTAATTCCACCAATGTACAAGGCAGATTTTCTCCTTTTGACGGTCATCCTGCGTCCTCATCATGTAGTTACTTGCAAACACACAGGGGTAGGAGACTCACGAGGGTCCAAGAGATGGGCTAGGGACTATGTAACCACCTAACACCGCGAGCTCTTTCTCCACCACCTTGGTGACACGGCGTGGCGAACATCTCCGGCTGACAATAGATTAGCCCTCAAAATCAGGCGCTGCACTATGTCATCGCCTATTAGGATTGGCTAACTTGCCTGGAATGGAAGATCGGCAAGTGTCTTGGCAAAGTAGTAGGCGCGTACACTGTACCAATAATTGAGGTGTTCCGTCAAAAAGACACGCATTTCCAACGGGACTGAAAGTAACGGGGAAGAGGGCGTAAGAGGTGGCAGAGGACAGTCTATGTCTCCACACACACATAAATACATACATACATACATACAGAGGATACCTCTGCAGAAGAAAATCCCTACTCCATGAGCCAATGGGAGTCGCATTTACTCCTGATTGGCCAATCCGACGAGAGGAAGATCTTCAGTGCTGACAGTAACAGGGTTTCTTACTCAGGTATTCAGGAGGCGCGAATGGCACATAGGCAGGTGAGTAGGGATTTACGAACCTCTGCTATTAAATAATTAATCACATTACCCATTGATGAATGAAGGTACACTAAAAGATGCGTCAGATGTATGGCTGGGATGAAGACACCTTCCAAGGTGGCATTTGATAGACGGGGAGAAAATGCACGCACTTTTCTTGATGTCTTGTGTTAAACGGCATGCTATTATGACACGGAATAGTCAGAGTGGCATGTGCCTCCTAGCCTTCGTGCGTCAATCTAATCACCTTTCCTCGTGACGACAAAGAACAATGAATAATGCGTACCCGCGTAGCGTGATGTCCTGGTCAAGAAAAACTTTAACAGCAATGCAGTCATATCGGCCATTCTGGAGGAAAAGTCAGCCCGTGAGAGGAACGCCGGATTAATACACTGCCTGACAGGTGATGTCAAGACAGCCAGCTATCCGAAAGCCTGCCCTGGAGGTCATTATTTCACTACCAATGGCAAAGTAAAGCCTCCTGACATAGGATGGGTTTGACTGTACCCACTAATAAATTTATAAATGCCTAAGTTACTTGTTGTCTCCCGCCATATGTAGTCATTCCCCGATTGAGTGTTTGGGAAGCTACTAGAGACAAGAAACCCCCTAAAAAGGTCGTGACCTAGGTTGTCATTCACGCGATATCATAATGATGAGACAGTAGAGCGAGACACATACACCAGCACACACACACACACTCACATGTCATGACTGTGGGCATGAGAGAGGAGAACATGATGAAAAGGGTGGAGAAGAATATGAAGGCTGCATTATTGCCCACTTGAGAGCCATTGTTGCCGACATTGAAGTAGAGCAATCCAATCAGTATGCCGACTACTACATGTGCCAGCAGACGAAGTCGTGTCAGCGTCTATTGATGGAAGGATGGCCGCCGAGAAGAGAAGGAAAAGTCGATTAGACAAAGAAGTGTACAAGAGCAGAAATAGCAGTAAATGAAATGGAAAGCAGGTAGCTATCACACGTAGGTGGACATAAAATGAACATAAAAACGACTTTTAGCCGCCTCCAGAGGTTTTAAAATAATTTTAATTTCCAAAGTAGAGAAAGTAAGGTCACAGGAGCGTCTACTAAAGTGATTGACGGTGTATTTAAATACTACTCATTTGCAGCTTATTAAATGTTCGCCTCCTTCTGTCATCTGTCAGCCCATTAATAGGTTGAATCATCAAAGCCGGTTGTTAAAGAGGGAAAGATCTTGAGAAACCGACCTCAAAGGTTACATGGTTCATGTCAAAAGATCTCCAGCTTATCCAGAGCTTGGGCATATCAAGAGAACAATAAAGTAGTAACAGTTAGGAACTCGCTTAATATCTTGACTACTAGCGTCACACATATGTGACACGTGATTTTTATAAAAAAATTGAACTGTGCAACAAACGAATTGGCTGATTTTAAGACAGAAACAAAGCCAAGACGTTTTTACAGGCTGAGACAACAAGACAACTATGTTTTTACACCCCCAAGTTATGATGGCCTAGGGTGGCTGACCCCAGCGGGAGGAGGAGGTATTGCGTATCCTGCAGCAAGACAGAAACGGGCAACTAAACTTCTCAACTCTTTATAAATGAGGAGCGGTTAGTGCACAAGTCTATATCAGAAAACTCGAGTAAATGGTTCACTGCGCTCATGAGCTAATGATAAATGGGTTAAAAGGCCAGTCAAAAACAGTTTGGTTAAGGCGCCCCTAATGGATTCTCTCTGGGATACCTAGACAGAGAGGCTTCGCAACGGTTGATGGAAACAAAACAACTTTGAACACATTCTGAAAACAAACGTAGCAAGTATAAATGCCCAGCCAAAGCCAAACAAATAGGGGCACTTGAGACACTGGGATGGATGGCGATAGAGGGGGTGGGGAAGAAAGGAGGGAGGAAAGAGCACCGACACACCTTAGAAGTTTCATTACCAGATGTCTAGTAGAGGGAGTTGTCTAGCGCAGAAGCCTCCAAAAAGGATTAGAGGAACACTGAATGGCTTATGGATGCTGAGAGCGAAAGCAATCTTTTGGAGGCTTTTAGGTCTAGTGCCAAGTGTTACAACACAAGCAAAAGATCGGTCTTCTCAGGGCTGCTTGTTCTTTTTCCCCTTTTCCATTTGGCAGACTATTTTTATCCCTCAGCTGTTTGCGTCAATTCAGAAGAGAAGAGAGGGGATTTAGGATCGGGTAGTTAAAAGGGCACACATTTGTCGTTTGGTATATAGGAGGAACAATAATGAAACAATTGGTTCTTAAAGTTAATAATTTACTCCCCCCATCCTCTTCTCCATCCTTTTAAGTGTTCAGTCTCTACAACACCAATCACCGACGTTGGTTCGCTTCCATACTAGAGACGACACTGGCAAGAAAGTTTAGTCCAAATAAATGAAGAAGGGTACAAATCAATGGGAGCAAATCCAACAATCCATCCTCTTCCCCAAAAATCTGAAAGATTTTAGTTAGGCTGAAGGGTAATTTAACACTTGGCGGACTAAGTGTTCAGAAAGGAGGAAAAAAGGAGGGTGTTTAGTCCCTACGGCACCGATCACCGAAGGTGATCCACTTCCAAAGTGAGGATGACATCGGTAAAAAGATACGCTACGATGGGGCTAAATCTAGCAACCCACCCTTCTCTCCCTTCGATAGAAGCAGTTCAGCCAGGCTAAAAAGTAATTTATCACTTGTAGGACTAAATGGTTAGAATCGAGGATGAAAAAACAAGGCCTTTCTTAAAGTGACTCACCTTATCCCGCCAGATGCAAATGAGAGTCCGTTTGGTCAGAATCCTTATCTGATGTAATAGTCCAACCTCGAAGGAGTGTCCCCCATGTTCATTCTTTGTTTGTTTTCATCCAAATTGGTCAAAGTGAAAAACCAAAAAGGAACCGAGATGTCAGTCTACACAATCGGTTCACCGCCTTAGGCAACATTTAAAAAGTAAACCGAGGAAAAATCATAAAATTTGTAAAATTTTGGATGAATGAAGGAGTAAATAGCATGCAGAACATCGAGGAGGTTGTGATAAATAATTTGTGATTTTGATTGTCGAGTTGGATCCAACTTACAACTCACACAGGAAAGGACTTACCAGATATGATCGCTGGTAAGTAAAGAACCATCAAAAGTAGAAGATCATTAAATGATTTAAGAGAGAAAAAACGGAGCACATTAACAACAACTCCCATTTGTTGGATAAAGGTTGATTATTCATGAGGGTGGGGGAAGGGAGAGGCAGGGAAAAAAAAGGAACAACATCTTATCCAGTCAAGATGAAGGAAGGTGAAGTTAGTATGAAGTTAATGACAGAACAACGACCGGGAAATACGGAAATATGAGAGGAACTGCTGCCCGAGACACAACAATTCACCCACATCAGTCTTGATGCTTTTGCGTGATTCCAGTGGGAGAGGAGTAGAGGAGGGAAAGGGAGGATGCGGGAAAAGGTCAATAAACAGCATTGCGTGCTCTGAAATGACTATCAGTGAGGCGAGTTTTAAAAATGTGTCAAGTCCCGAGGTTGAAGGGGAAAAAATTAACCAACACTAGCAGAAAAGTGGACTTGGACAGTTCGATCAGCCCATGTGCGATTGGAAAGGAGAGAGAAAGCGGAGAATTGTTGATGCCAAACATCAAAAGCTGCCAGAAAGCCTTTAATACATCGGTCGATTTGGTTTTGTGTAGGCGTCCTATCGGCTTATCCCTGGGTAGCCCTTCAGTCCCCCCTTACCGCGTCCTCATGAATAAGTGAATAACTCGAGAGGCTACATCGGTGGCAGTAGCAAGCGAGTTATCCTGCTCATGTAGGGTGACGCTTAACCTAGGGGTTAGGAGAATGGCCTCATCAACAACCACCACAGCTCTAGTTTCGGGCAATAAATTGCCTCCAAAAACACATGAGATCCCTTCTTCATGAAGTAGTTTACCTTTCAAATGCTAAAACAAGATCCACGATACTCCGCGAAGAGCACCAGCCAGCTATGTGGTGTATCTAAGTCAGCGAGCTCTACACTTCCCACCTTGGCGTCACATCCTCCCATTTCATACTCAATAGGAGTCATCTGCTTTATTACGCCTTCAAATTTGTCTCAAGAGGTTTCAAAGCAGGGTAGTATCGTATCTACGAGTAGACGGCTATAAAGCAATCATCATAACTGACAATGACGAAGACGACAATGGAACAACTTTATAGGCCAGTCAGTGTTGGAAAACAGTCCAGATACCTTAGGGTTAGTCGTGGACCTACCTTAAAATCGAGTTTCACCTTTTCCTAGGGAAAATAAATCAGAAAAAGTTACTTAGAAAGGCAAACGGAACGGGATCTATTTTTTCTGCCAAGTTGAAAGAGGGAAAGTAGAGGGGAATCCAAAATTTATAGTGCTTTAAAGATGAAAAAAAGTAGAGAGGACAGATTGTCAACTCTAAGAAACCATAGAGTAGAACGTGGAGGAGGGAAGGTAAGAAGGAGACACAACAAATGAGACAGCTTAAACAACTTACTTTCATTGATGGAATACACACCTGGAAAAGGATTAATTAGAAATTAAAGTTTACTAAGGATAGATAAGGTACTCTAAACGTTTCCCAACGACTCACAAATTTCCTTTTTTAAAAGTGTTTTATAAAGAAACAAGCGATCACCGTTTTTCGAAAGATTGATTGGTCCTTCTGCTCAACCGAAGTTGAAGGTATCTCCATGCCCGTCTCATCACCATTGGCTATTCCATAGACATTGGCACCTTCGACAGACACCTTAACAGTTGCACTTAAAGACTCGAGGAAAGAGGAAGCACCCAAAGCCTGGAGGCGTACAATCTCCTTTTCTAGACGTCCATTATTAACCGCGCTGAGAAGAATGGAAGATGCTGTCGCCTGATCCTCCTCAGTGAAAGCTAAATCCATCACTATGGGAAGAAAATAAAAAATTATTTTTTTTTCCGGTGAAATAAAGATGACCATTCCAAATTGCTCATTTGAATGAGATAACATCAGTAGCTACGCATTAAACAGACCAGATAAATTCCCTAAAACGTTATAACTCATTGGGTAAAGTTGTGCCAGCCTTAGGTGTTTCATTTCTTCCTTTTTTCGCCGAAATCGACCATGTCATAATACTTAACATGACAACAAATGGATGCTACTCATCAAGTCACACAAACCCTTACTCTGAGGGGAAAATGAAGGATAGAGGGAGAAATTCAAAGTTAAACTCAACTAACTTGTTGATATGAAGTTCTAAAAAAGAGAAGATAAAGGGAGCCAAATCACTTTGATAGTTAACAAATCACAGAACCTGGAATGTTGTAATGTTGATAGATCAAAGGTAGGCGTAGACTCACAAAAGTCTGAGGGATTGTGATACCTTGGGCATTGAAGTCCCAGTGAGGCTAGATAGGGAACGAGAAATTTTACTGGACCGCGATAAAGGCATTGACCAGCTCGAAGGAAGTAAAGCTAAAAAACGAGAAAGAGAAAATAAAAGGTCTGTCAATCACATAATACATTTAAATGAGATCATTGTCTCCACATGTTCAGCCCGAATTGGGACTCTAATCCTTTTTCCTTCCATAGTGAAATTACAAAAAAGAAGAAGGTGACAAATGAACTGTTGATTAGGTATCTATTATCAAGTGGTAGTGAATGCATCAGCGGAACATGATGTCCCTTGGCAGATGAAAGTGCTTAACTCAGAACTTGCAGATCTCCACCTCTAACCTTCACGTGGCAGTGATGTCAGGGCTGCACAAGTAATTGCTCCTGTGGACAAACATTTAACGACCTTCCTGTCAGAAAATGACAACACCTGTAAGAAATCACCCCACATACATCAATGAGACCCCACCGAGAAGGAGGGAGAGGGGAATGAGTACACAAACATGAGTCTGTAGAGTAAAAGTACATTGCACTTTGTCAAGCCTACTACCATTTTCTCCGACCTTGGCAACTCCCACCTGTCCCAAATACACATCCTGGTTAGATGAATTTGTGTTCTTCCTCAATACGCAGAGGACAGTGGCACTGAATCCAGATAAAAGGACAGCAACTAGGAATAAACGCGATGAAGAGAGCTTAACACTCATTTCAGCCCTAAAATATTTAACTTCCTTATTTCCTTTTTTCATATTTTCACTTCGTCTTAGTAAAGAAATAAGAATAAAGATTGCGTCCAACAAACTGCCAGGATCGTCATCACAAACACATATACATTGACCGCCTATTCTGGGCCAGAGGTAAGATTCACCCTCTCCTAAATAGCACAACTTCTTCATCAATTAAGCGAGGAGGAAAGGTTTGCCTTATAAAAACTCATTTAAAAGGTCAAATGTAAAAAGCAGTGGGGTGATATGGCCACCACGGAAAAGCGTGGGAAAATACACTTCTGTGAGGCGGAATAAATGATAGATGAAATCGAGTCCATTGGAAAGGAGAGGCAACTAAGGTGTATTTCTGAGGGTCATATAAGCACCCACACGCGTTACGTCCAACTGGGTGGCAAATTTGCCACAGCAGTGAGGTTTGTTGAGTCCTAACAGTGGGCATATGGAAGGATATGAGGTATGAGAGAGATATGAGAGACAAAGGTACAGAAAGTCTGATTGGGATATCAGTAGTAGTAACACATTCCTCTTTACAAAAAGAAAGGGCTGTAACATACGGAATTTCTGTGATAGATTTGTAGGATTTGGGGTCAAAAGTTAAACGAATTGCACACTTAATAAGTTTAATTCCATGAATTGGAAGAAGACAATGTTTAAAGTAAAAAAGATTCACCCACATATTTTTAAAGACATACCTGATCAAAAATATCGAAGATCGTAGCACTGGGCTGATGAATCGTACAAACAACAGTTCTTCCCTGTTTTGCAATTGTTTGAAGCGCCACGATGCACTGAAGACTTGCATTGCTGTCAAGACCACTAAAGCGACGTCAAAGGAGCTCAGACACTACCGAAAATGCCCAATAGAATAGAAGCAGCCACTTGTCCATGCCTAATATGGACGGCCGTGTTTTTTCCTGCCTATCAGAGTTACAAATATGAAAGCACAAGCCCCTAACTCATTCACATGTCTTAGTGGTTAAATGAGCAGTTATTAGGGGAAAATGCAGTATAATGTTAACAAAGAAGAGGAAAATCTAGGTGTTACCTTGTAGGTTCATCAAAAAACATAATTGGTGGATTGTTGATCATTTCTTGGGCTATCGAGAGACGTTTCCTTTGACCTCCAGACAAATCAGAAGTGATAATGTTGCGAGTTTCGGATAACCCCAAGGTCTGCAAAATCTCATCAATCTAAATTTTCCGAAGATAGTAGGCATTTGTCACTTTCCTGTAGTTAGGACCCAACAAGTATCATAACTACGAAGAAGGTGAAAATACTTGAACATGAAAAGACGTTTATGTATACTTTAGTTAGTTTGCATACAATGATTCAAAGGTAAACTGAAGACTGTATAACAGGAGGGTGCTTTACAATTAACTTCCGTTGATCATTTGGGCAGTTCTGCGGCAAATTAAGCTGCGAACTGCAAGTCATTGCCTCTTCAACAGTTAGCTGTGAAAGTAACGGCGCATCTTGCATAATGAAGCAGGAAGATCGCCGAAAGGAAGCAAGATGACGAGGTTTGCCATTGACCAAGATTTGACCAGACACATTTCTTGTTTTAAAGCCAGCAAGTACATTCATTAAAGTGCTTTTACCAGCACCACTAGGTCCCATTATTGCTACTAGTTCACCGCTCTTGAAGTTTCCAGATACTGATTTTAAAAGAAATTTGGGCTCTAAAGAAGCAAAAATTAACTGAACACAAACTTACGAAGGCCACGACCCTGGAAGATAGCATAAACGAGGTCTTTAAATTCGATAGATTTTTGGAAACTATTGCTATTGTATTTATCCGGACTGCGGTTGAGTGAGTCCGGAACAGAATGGAAGTGTGAATTCTCAGAGTGATTATTAACATTTTCTAGCTCCGCCAAATTTTGAACACCACTTGGTGTTTTTTCGGTGATTTCCGACGGTGTTGGCAGTATGCGCAGCATATTATCAGTACACTACCGAACCTCATATAATGCGCCTTGTCATTAATCATAAAGACAAGTTAAATTGTGAATAGTATAAACAAAAATTAGGCAACAGTTTACCACAGAAATTTTATTAGTAAAGAACAGGGCTTGCACTTGGAAGACTACAAATTCTGGGGTATTATGGCTACAGCCCTACAATTTATGATTGATTTTATGTCCACAAACTGGTGCTTGTTATAAAATAACTTTATTTACGCACAGAATTGACAAGTGAATACCACCGTAGCGGGTAACAACTTCAAACAACGTAATTAAGAAAATACCTTAAACAGTTCTGCTACTATGTCGACTCTATCTTTTATTGAAATATTCATTTCTACCAGCCACGGATATTTGAAATTCATGACTATGCACACATTTTTAAGTGTAGCCTGCCGCGTCTTTGCAAAGAGGCCTGAGGGCTGCCGGAATGGTTCGGATGCTATACTAATTGTAATACAATAGTGGTTTATCCCTCGGTTTTGGTGAGGCGCGACTTTTGTACTTTGAATTAGCCCTCTTGTACCCGGCCGGGTGGGTTGGCCTTTTGGGCCATGCCAATAGCCCGGACACCTCCGTGCTGAATATATATTCTGCCCGAGTATTTCTTCTTCTTTCATCTTCAGGGAGTCTTGGGACGCTACATAATATCAAAAACCACAGTCTGTGAGGGCTTATGTGCCCAGGAAATCATGCGCAGAAATTAGCTACTAGGACACCGCACTAATCGCGTTTATCATGAATAATCAAGCTCATAGCTGTTCGTTTTGCTACTTTAATTGGCACAGAGATTATGCAGCATACGGAGTCCTTTCTGAAGACACCACACATTAAATTACGCTAGAAGTACACTTATTACTAACGGGCACGGCTGTTGGCAGGCCACTGGCATGTCTCAGAGGTCATACCACAGAGCTAAAATACGACCTGAGGATACTGGAATCCCCATCTACTTTAGCACTCAGTTAGGCGGATATTGAATCACTACAGCTGTGCTAGGACTTAGCTCAGATTTATTGTTGAATTACATGCCATCATCTGGTGACCTACCTGCGATAAAAGCTGCGGAATTAGGGCGTCGGCCTGCTGCCAACCACTTCTTTTAAAAGAAAATTTGACAGATCTGCCAAGCGCAGTAGACGATCGTGTGGACCAACACGTAATTCAGGCAGTAAGGAAGATCAATCTCCACGTTCCGACACAGCGATTCAACACCTTGGTGGACTTCTCCCGGTCAAGAACCTACCTTGCTCAAGACCACCCAGCACCCCACCCTGACAACAATGAAAAAAAATACCTTAAATGTCTCGAAAATACACTTCATATTTGCCGTACAAATTTCCGTGCATGTTACCGGTAGACACTATTCCAAAATAAAAGCGAAACATGTCAGATTAGGCCTTTACTAAACATGGAAATCGTGCCGCGCTGAATGAAACCAAAGAATACTTATGCAAGCTTCTTGGCTTTCTGAAAGAGCAGATCCAAACTAGTGCTCAGGGTATGTACAATGTCCAAGGCAACTTTGTAATCACGTCCATCGTAGGGCTCATCACGAAGCACTAGCATTCCTGTGCCCTGGTCCAGAATCCCTGAAATACAATAAAAGTGATGCGTCAAAGTATCCAAAGCTACAGAATTTGCCTATTGGGACCGGATTAACACATGAGGGAGCAACCAGCTGAAGCCTTGCATTCAATATAATTCATTCATAGGATGTTAAAATCAACCAAGCGGAAATGAAGAAAGCCAAAGGCATAACAGAACATCAGGTAAAGTCATAGATGGACAGCAGAAAATTACCATTCAATTGCTTGTCTAGAATCATTTGGGAGAGCTTCTTCTCTATATTTTCCTGAAAATAAATAAGAAACCTTGATTACTTACATAGTTCAGAACTATGGTGCCGTATTCTTGATGAAACATACCAAGGGTAAGTTGATAAGCTTGGCAATATGTGCGATTTGTACACGCGAATAAGGCTCAATCAATTTAGTCAAATTTTGACCCAGCAGAGTGTCGTAGAAGGTGTTGAGGTGTTGTGATATCACGGGATCACCTAGCAGCTCGTTCTTGTACTCCTCTCGCAACTAAATAGAAAGCAAAAGAGAACAGGTGAAGCCACCACTACAACACATTCTTGTTCGAATGTACCTCTTTGATGACAAGCGGTCAGACCACACTAACCTCATATCTGAAAGGAAGCTACCTATTCCCAAGGGAGGAACGAATTCCAAATCCCACCCACAAACTTTGAAAACCTGTCAATCTACCACATATTAGACAAATAGTAGGTGTCTTTTCCCACTCGATCATCTCAATCTACGGGGTTCGACCAGATGAAATCGGAAAGAGGCAACATTAAATCAGCTGCGAGCTACAAAGAGTTGAGCATGAGCGCCAAGCCACATCTAAACAAGACGATGAGAGCATTACAGAATTTCTCTTACTTATTAGCCTATCAAGTTATCCAACAAAGAATCGGTTATACGAGAATGAACAAGGTGGGTAAAACGAATGACTACGATAACGATGTATCAATCAGAATATTTCAACTCACATTCAAGAAAGCGCCAAGTGATCGATCCCTTGCGGCTTTCGCAACATCCCGCATGGCCTCAATGGGCTTTTGATTGTAACCAGCAGTCAGTTTTGAGGATAAAATTATGGGCACTTCTTCAGGACTTAATTCAAAAGAAAGCAAACACGTCATTAAGGTGCTGGAAGGGTAGTAACAGAAACGTTAAAAATAAGCGACATACCAATTAACCATAATCTTCGCCAAACACATGTATTTTAAGGCATCTACAGCTTTGCTTGAACCGATGGAGTCATAACTCTCAAAGGCTTCATAAAAGTAGGAGTAGGCTGTTTTAAAATCACGTTCATCCGCAGCATGAAGAATGCCTGCAATGAGTAGGCAACGCAACGTTAAGAACGTGGAGGTGTGGTCACGGTACAACAGCCATTATGAAATAGAACCAAGTTTAATGGAGCCTTAGTACAGAACGCACCTGAGAGTAAATCAAGAGCGGCCTGAAGACGTGGAGGACAGTAGATGCTGTTGGCTGTCGTGCGAGAAGAAGTGAGAGCAGCGCGTGACTTCTGCAAATTGCCAACTCGATAGTAGACCTGGCTTTCCATTAGTTGGACCTCCACGAGAAGGATCTTGTCATCCAGTTTCTTCAGCTCTCGAAGCAAAGTACTTCCTGGCGAAAAAGAGCAGGATTTTACTAAGTTAAGGCGCAAAAGTGGCATTAATGTACTAAAAAACAGATGCCATTACTCAAAAGGGATCAACTTGAGCTGACTATAAAATATAGATTCGGATGATAAAAACGGTGCCACGGACAAAGCATACGAAAAGAATAATGTAGCAAGTCAACGCCAATTCGCCGAAAAACTACCCAGTTGTAAAGAATCCTCATAGCGTTCATTGTCAGCATACAAGCCCATTAGTCTAGCCTCGAGTGCCTGTTTCAAGAATGTCCGTCGCTCATTACCAGCCCATTCAATACACTCCTTTATTAAGTCGATTTCTCGCCCAGTACCAGCTTCCAAATCCAGGAAGAGATCAACAAGTGTTCGAACCAAACGACCAGCCTTGGCCTTACTAATTTGTTGCAGAAAAGGGCGGGTAAGCAGGATGAGATCCGCCAATTCTACAATGTAAAAAAATGGCTTGGTTATAAAGACGACAACCATAACTATAGTAAAACAGAAACAAAACCGAGGACCGTCACATTACTCAGGGCTCGAAACAGACTTTTAGGATACGAAAGCACGAGTAAGCGCAGTGGTTTTAGCAAGCGGCAAAAATATTTGATAAAGTATGGGAGAAATTATGGCAGCTGACCTTTGGCCTTCTTTTGCTTAGCATATATATTGCCAAGATCGATGATTGCAGTTTCCTTCTGCTTAATGCCTTCGTCATCGTCGTCAGCAACCTGCTTTTGAGCTAGATCACAAAAAGTCATCAGAAATTCACTCACCTATACACAGGCACTGCTCGATGTTAGCAGTCGTACTAGCAAACGGATTCTGAGGCATTCTCGACAACACCGCTGAGGTCATGGTTTTTGGATAGTGCTGGCAAAAGCTAATCAATTAAAACTAAGGACAACCAGCGGTTTAAAGTAACATATAAGACGTTAAAAATTAAAAACTTTTTGCTACTGCATCAAGCATAGTATTGGTTTGCATACTTGCTGTACGATTATAAAATTCTATAACACTATCAGTTAAAACTTTTAAATAAAATGTTTTATCATACTTAAAAATTATGCAAAAAAGTTTTTAAGCATATTAGAATATTGCTTTTGAGTAAAAGGATAGAAGGAGTTGAAATTTATTAAAAGGGAAAAAAAGTGCACGATAGCCTTTTTATCAAGAAAGAACGAAACACTGCGTTTGTTCTTCCTACAATTACTATGAGACTAAAGCCTAATTAGAAGATTGTAATCATTTTTTATGTTCGCAAGTAAGCTCTTTACCTACACAAAAACTTTGAGCCCAAATTTGGTTATTGTGTTTCTTTAAAAATGTTGTTATTTTTCTTTATTGCACTTTTCGAGACTTTTTAATTAATTTTTACTTTCAAGCACACAATTCTTTTGCGGTTCGTTTGATGCTCTCTTCTAGGCGGCTTTGAGATGGATTCGGATGAAATGGAGAAAGCCTTGGGCTTCAGTGCCTTCACCAGCAATAAGCAGGCGAGAAAGTTTGACTTTATGGAGATGTTCGAAAAATCACATACTATTGCCAAACAGAGGAATGAAGAAGGAAATAGAAAACTTGATGGCAAGTCTTCCTATACTTATTTTGCCTCCAGAGCAAACTGCCCACTCAGAAGTTCAAAGCCAATCAGAACAAGCAGAGAAGAATGGTTTAGAATCAGATCACGATGATGATGACACCGTTGTTCCTACAACGTCCGATCAACCCGAGGATCCTTATTTTATACCTATGGCCGAACACTTGCTCTTGAACCATGGCCCCAAACCTCTTACTGCAGTTGCTCTGGATCCTTCAGGATCTCGGGTTGCTACGGGAGGCTTTGATTTTGACGTTAAGTTATGGGATTTTTCTGGAATGGACAAAAGCTGCCGAGCCTTCAAGATTTTTCAACCCAGCGAAGACCAACAAGTAAAACATATTGAATTTAGCCCCACTGGTGATAATATACTAATTATATCGGGGAGTCCTCAGGCCAAAATATTTACACGTGATGCGGAGCCTTACTGTGAGACGATTCGAGGCTACCAGTATATCACGGATCCAGCCAGCGCTAAGGGTCACACTCATGCCCTCAATGGAGGCACTTGGCATCCAATTGATAGTCGGAAATTCCTTACCTGGTCACAGGATACCACCCTTCGGGTCTGGGAAATCGATACAGCTGAACAGATTCTTGATGACACGCGAATCCCCTCCCATTCAGCCATCCTCAAACCTCGCAATAAGCAGGGTCGCAAGACAACCCCCACCGCCGGTGCTTATTCTAAGTAAGCATCTTAAATTATTTTAAACTCTTCTTTAGGGATGGATTTCTGGTGGCAGCAGGGTGTGAGGATGGTTCGCTGCAAGTGTGGGATACCCGGAGACCTCTAGTTAACACTTCTCACCTCTACCGCACAGCACACCCTGTAGGAACTTACACTACGTGTCTATGCTTCTCCTGGGATGGCCATGTGATTGCCTCTCGTGCTATGGACGATACGGTGCGATTGTGGGATTTACGTGCTCTTTCCAAGGGAGCCGTCTATACGGTGCGTGATTTGCCAGTGTTATTTGAGCAGACGGAGGTCTGTTTCAGTCCTAACGACACCATGGTGGCGGCTGCTGTCTCTGCTAAGCGTGGAGATCCTTCCAGTGGAGAGGTTGTTATCTTCCGCAAGGATACGTTCGAGGTTAGTTTGGCATTGTTCTAGTGCTTTAATTACTCCTGATTTATTTATGAGCCGTTGTCCGAAGTCCTTGGGATGTTCTCGTAATTATTGACTTGTTAACAACTGTTAGAAGTTTTTTTGGGTGATTTGAAGAAGCCATTGAGCAACTCCATTTATGTTGGCTCCAGAATGAGTACGTGCGTTTTTTGTATGACCGAAAAGCTCATCGGTTTCGTTCATCGCCTTGGGTGCATGGCGTTGCCTTCTATTTACTTCTGCCAATATCCTCCCCTCGGTTCTGCAGGGAGGATTTGGGGGTCAAAATGTAGTTGCATATCGCGAATCTCGCTTTACCTTGAAATGTTGTTTCGGGCCCCCCTGTGTGGATGTGTTCGTGTTCTTCCTGCTTCCCACTTTTATGTCCTACTTATAGACGTCAGGTAGCATTAATGGGGTCCAGTGCTATCATAGCGTATCGTAATATCTACCTTTTCTCAAGTTACCAGCGGCATGTCAAATGTGATTTTCGGTGTCTTTCTTTCCCCCACTTCCCACAAAAGTCACATAATCTCGAACAGCATGTCCGTTACTAGCATTCTTGGTGTCCCAGTGACGTCTCGTCGTCCTGCGGCATTAGTTGTTAATCCCATTTTTGCAGCCAATTCATCACCACAAACCAGGCAGTGGAAGTGCGATTCGCGTGGCTTGGCATCCACGCATCCGTCAGATCGTCACGACTTTCTCCAACGGTACCGCCACGGTCCACTTCGACCCTGCTCACAGCCGTAACGGTGCCCTAATGTGTGCCTACCGTCAGGCCTCTGAAGCTAGTCGGCGTCGTCGTCAGGGCTACGGTTGCTCTTCGGATGCCTTCATCAAACCCACCCTCCTCACCTTTGACGAGGACTCGGTGCGCGTGGCACGGAAGATGCGTCGACGCTTCGGGAATCTGGAGGATGAGAACCAACTCGCTGTGGCTGCTGCGATCGCGGCTTACGAGAAGGACCTTGTGGCCGCGAACGAGGCGGCGCGTAAGGCTGCTCGTAAGCGCGTACCCAACGCCGGGGAGGATGTTGGTCAGCGTGTGGGGAGTCTACACAAGTACATGGTGCAACAGATTGTCCTGCGCAAGAACGAAGCTGATGAACGGGCAGAGAAAGACATCCGAGGAGCTATTTTGCGTCATGCGGAGGCAGCAAAGAAGGATCCATTCTGGACGAAGGCCTATCTCAAGTAGGTCTCTCTAAAATCTCCCAAAGCCGTCTCCTCCTCCTTCTCCTTGTTCAGATAGATTTTGATCTTATAGGACACAGCCAAATCCTATCTTCCAAAAAGACGAGGCGAGTTCACCCAAACGGCCGAAGCCTTCGTAGAGTTGATTGTTCTGGTCTTTATCTTATAGCTACTTGTACAGTTGCCGGTGTGGTCAGTAAATTTTTCCCAGTATGTTACCGTTTTACCATCCCTCTTCTGCTTGGTCATCAACCCCTTTTTCGGTCGCATCTAGCTCTTTATCATTCGAAGGGAGTTCAAACCAAACTGGGACTTTGAAGTTCATAAAAAATGGGATTGTTTAATTCCAGGGAGTTAGAACTGCACCTCTTGAACTTCACATAAGTAAGCGCCCTGCATTTACATTCATACGTTCACCCTAGTGGCTTCCACCTTGGGAAAGTATGCCAGTTCAGTTGATGATGATTCATTGTCTTGGGCTATCTCGGTGCCGAGGACGGCCCAACTTTCCCACATCTCAAATACCTTCAGATACGTGTGCTACTCGTTACTACAGCAACTCCTACCGGGTATTTTACAGATTGCATGTGCATTCACGAGAGTGACTAACAAGACTGCAGGGTCGGCGCCTTCACGGACAGGCATGACAACAAGACAGGTGATGAGATCAAAAACGACTTTGAAAATGGGGGGGGTCAAATGTAGCCCCTGTGAAAGGAACGAAGGAATAATTTGTGGATTAGCTACTTTGAGTATTTTAACTATTGAAATCACCAATATGAAAAAAAAAAAGAGGAAGCAAACAAGAACCTAGGGTAAAGGGGGTTAAAGGAATTAGGCATTTGTACGATCCCGCAATCACTTCAGACGAACTCCAAGTGCTTCCACACGGAAGCCGATCTCTTGCAACTCTCGATGAGGCGCCACTAGACGTCCGTCAAAGAAGGAGGCCGGTTTTCGCATTGTTTGGTAGAGTGCATTGTAGTCCAGGGTCTGTGAAATGAATCAAGGAGGAAAACCGCCTTTTAATTGCTTCGTGACTCTTCACTCCCCACACGTTATTCTGACATTTGGCGTCAATGTCGTTGTCAAGCCATGCCTAGGCTCTACCAGCTATTCTGTATGTCGGCGATAAATCTTTTATGCTGCTATGGGTTTATTACGGACTTCAAAGAAGGCTAGAGGTGCCATCTACTGCCCCAATCTCACACGCCTTTTTAATAACCAGTAATAAAAGTTATTTAAGTGTTATATCGGTGGTAGAGTTGGCGAGATGGTGGGACTTAGTTGAACGAGGCTATCAACTTTCCACCTTCTCCGTAGGCTTTGGACGCCAGGGGAGAGTAGAGTCAGATGAATAAATTGAAGCGGTGGATTGTATTGACGTACCTTAAATTCATCACAATCTGTACAGACGATAATTCCGTCCGCGTTTTCAGCAGCCTCCATTGGTGTTGCGCACCAAATCAAATTGTCGATGTTGGCTAAAGTTGGGAAGAAGACAACCAACCTAGGTTTGCTTGCAGAAAGTGAACTTCTGTTTTGTAGTGGGATAACTTCACCCTCATAGTGAGGAGTGGATCTATTCCACTTCAGTAGTGTCAACGGGGAAAGAGCACCTCGCGGTACACTTAGAGCCTGATCTGTCACAAAAAAGTTAGCAACTTGTCAAATTGAGCTCATACAGGTGTCCTCTTGTCCTACGTGTTGGTCGGGACACGTGGCTTTTGGAGTGATGAAACTACTTGTTGATATCAACAGGGTCATGGAAGCCCGCCGAATGGACGTCGCATATCCATTTGCCCTTCACTTCTTCCAAGGACGCCCTTTTGCAAATCACCTATCAACTAAAGGTGGTTTCTTTCACCTTCTTTTCGTTAGGCGAACAAAGGACAACTTCAGCCGCAGAGAAATGGGCTTGCCTTGGGTTTAGGTGGTGGGGTTGCTGAAGGCTAAACCATTCTGCCTGAGAACTATCCATCCGATGCAAATCGAGGGTTTGGAAGAAAGACCGCCTCTTCAGCAATAAACCAGTGATAGATTAAGGAATCAATGAGAAGAGGGAGAGAGATATTGCCTCCTCACCCTCATACTCCTTACCCGTTGGTAATGCTTCCCTTAGGTAGTGATTGACATCTCGCCTTGGCATTGCTATTAGACAGTCATATGCTCACAAGAAAGATAGGCGATTTAGAAATACCAGTTAAACAATAATGGAGGCAGCTAGAGCCCAATTTCCTTTTGGAGCCAGTAACAATGACAAGTTTGACTAGCAAGGTCTATTAACTCGAAGATTTTCCTCTAAAATCGCAAAATTTTTCCCCTTTACCACTCTCAAAGCAAAAAAATCGGGCGTAAGAGTTATTCAGACAAAAAAAAAAACGCACCTGGCTTCTGTCCCAGTATATCTGTAATCGCATCCACAAGGAATTCCTTTTTAGCCAGAGGATCATACACCGCGATGGTGGAGTCCTCTAACAGCAAGCGGCAACATATCATAATTGCCGGACTGTTTCTGTTGTGACGAATAAAGCAGAACTTAAATTTCAGCGATTTAATTTATTGAAAGCAAGAGCGGGAGCCACTTTAGGAAAAGATCATAGGGTTTAAAGGCAGATAAATACTACTTAGGTGAATAAACGGCAGCTGTTGTGGTGTTCAAGTCTAAACGGAACTACTTGCGGCCTCTAATAGGTCCCGTAGTCCCGATTCAACATGAACATCATTCGTATAAGCGTTGATGCCGTCAAGGTAGGCCATTTATATCCTCTACTCATTGAGTTAAAGAAGCACAACACAAAATTTGAAGGAGTTTGAGGATTATCCACCCCCACATTGATAATTTTTTTTGCTCTTTTATACTCAACTAATTTGACATCCATTCTGCTCGCATTGATTAGCAGTGATTCTATAAAGCCCTACCTTATTGAAGACAACTGCCAATTCAATGAAATCACATGAATAGGTCAATATCAGGAGGGTTTCACACACGTACTTGACATCTGGTGTGCCTTTTTTGAAGGCACAACCGAGGAGAGCCAGCCTCTTGTCTCGCAGAGTCTCGCAGTAATGTGCTGTGATTTTGCGGAAGAATCTCGACACTTGGAACTCATTGACAGTCAATACTGCGTTCCAGAAGGCTGCAACTATTGGTAACTCTAATGACTCACAAGTGTAGACCTAGACAGTTCCAAAGAAAAAGCAGAATCGCTAGAATAGCTAGTCTGGTAAAAAATGAAGACACGGAGATAGGGAGGAAGCCTACCAGATGATGAAGATCCGGTGGTAGTGTATTACCCCCAAATCCAAGACCGGCATCAAGGAAGTGTCCACCAACACGTGTATCCCGGCCCACGGCATCGGCAACCTGTCGCACGTCAGCTGCTGTCTCCTCGCATACACTTGAGATGGCATTGATACTACTCACGCGTTGAGCCAGAAAGGCATTCGTCACAAGTTTTGTAACCTCCGCCGATTTGGTAGACATTGTAAGAATCTTCTCCTTGGGCACCCAACGCTCATAAATACTACTAATAACATTGGTAGCCTTTCTTGAAACCGCATCCGCCTCTCCACCCAGTACAACACGATCTGGATGGAGGAGATTTTCAATTACACTGCCCTCGGAGACGAATTGAGGATTAGATAGAACGATGAGTTTCGAAGGTTGCTAGATAATAGCAAAGTATTTGTTTTAGCCGTACGCAGAGACGTACACAACCTTCGCGATTTACACCGCCATCTCAGTAACATAGAGGTGTTTACACAAGCCGACAGTCCTTCAGCATTCCGTAATGCTACTTGCCCCATTAAGCCCTGATTCCACAGGGTGGATCTTTGACAGTGGCACCAATGTCTTCTCCCCTTGACGGACTCCAAGACCACTTAATGTTAGTAGTCTCTCACTTTTTATACGTAGGTGATGAATCCTGCTTCCATAGTGGCATACCATAATTACGTCTTCAGAGACGACCTCCAAGGCTATGGCGAATATTAAGGGGGAGGCCCTTTAAAGTGAATGCGTGCAAATACACACATAGAACTACGATCACTCTGTATAGACTTTAGGAGAAAGAGAAGGGGGCGGGAGTGGGTACTTACAGAAGTAATCGAACTGTGATTGACCCGCTAAACTTGTTTGGTGTACCCTGCAATGGTAACAACCTTAGAGGACAACTGTCACACCAGTCATAATTAAAATATAGCAACAGTTGATCAGTTATTTTACCTCTGCCGATATACACTACCTGAAGCGATTACCGACAAATAGAGGAAGAAAAATAAAACTAACCTTTTTGTTTGCAGAGAAGATGCTATTAATGAGATCAGTAGCACCAATGGGCACGGTGCTTTGGACAACCACAATGGCCGAAGAGTTTCCCGAGGCGACAATTTGACGCGACACTGCCTCAATACTGCCCAAATCGGCAGCCCTGCCCTAAAATTAGAGGCGAAAATCGTTGATTTAACCGGAGAGAACAATTTTTTCAGTCCCACTTAACTTAACAAGGGGAACTATTTAAGAGAACCAAGAGGAACTCAGCTAAACGACAAAAAATCCAGAAGAGTTTCAACCTTATAGGCGACTTTCGCCAGCTGTTTACTCAGGTATAAAGTAGCTGGTGGTGTTTGAAAATTCGGCTTGACTACCACCCATCGTAAACGGGAAATGCCGAATGAGATAAATCCGGGTATTTATGTGTGCGCAAAAAGCAAACAATTGTCACACGCAACATATGCGTTTCGAGTGCACGGTTTCTATGGCTATTTAAAGCTCTTCTCAGTCATTGTAATTAAGGATATAGGTAAAAATAGAGAAGAAAGTGAAAATTGGAGTCACTTTACAAAGGAACTTTTTGCACTTCTAACAACTAATCAGATGAGAAAATTACTTGTTATTTCAACGGAAAAAAACATTTGATTATGCACAGAGGTTTGTGTAGATAGGTGCGATGTAAGAGTTACAAAGTATGGTAAGGAAATTGAATTGAGGAAAGACAAATGAAGTAACTTGTCATGCAGAACGATTTGTACAAAGTTAAAAAACCACAATCTCTATGCTACCTAAGTTACAGAAAAGTCAGCAAAACACTTAATCAAATGTGAAAATAGACAACAAAACAAATATTTCACCTAGGGTTCACATGCTAGGCCTCCGCAGAACGGGTTTCAATCACCTGATTTATCCTATTCACGAAACATTTATGAACTTCGACAGTATCTAAAAGGAACTCGAAAAACTAAAAACATACGCGACCAACACCGAGAGATTTGGCAGGAGTTTTCACACAAATGAGGATGATATCGGCATCGGCAAGGTACGCATCGGCTTCGGAGGAAATTATAAAATTCTTGCCATTGCATTGTTTAAGCAAATCATCCAGCCCAACCTTAAAAAACCATAATGAAGTACAATTGATAGAAATGTGAGGGATTTGCAGGTAATAACTGAGAGGATAGTTTTATAAGTCACCTCAGAAATGGGATAATCGGGTCCATTGTTCCACTGGTTAATGATGTCTCTGTCACAGTCTACGACACTAACAGAATACTCTGGACATTTTGAGGCGATGACGGCACAAACAGGGACACCCAAAATACCCGCGCCGACGCCGCAAATCTTGTATTTCTTGCCCACCATTCAACTACAAGATAATACAATTCCAAGTAACATTCGAATTAATAATACGACCACATATAAAGAAGGCAGAATAAGGAGATAAAAAGAAAATATACTAGCCGCCTCCACGAATGCATTATAACAGCAAATTGTGCAGCTAAGAAAAGGTCGGTACAGTAAAAAGCCCTCAAATAAAGACAAGCATGAGTACAGATGTAAAGCAAATCCTAGTGAGCCTCTAATTTGTGAAAACAAAGCCTAAGACTATAAAATGCGGGCGTGCAGAATGATTAGTAACAAGACATAGGACTTCGCAAGCCAACCCAGCCCCTTCTCATCAAATGCCAACCACAATACGCAGACTAGAAAAATCAAATACGATCGTAGGGATAAAAACGGCTGAAAGTGATGCACATCAAGGAGGGCGAGAGAAACTATAGCAAGGGTTTATTTAGGAGCTAGGGTTCACGAGCGAATCAGAAAGGGGTTGGTGGTGCGATTAAACAATATCCTGTGTCTAAGGCCATCCAATGATAATAACAGCATTAAAAACACAACAATTTAAGACCCACAAAATATAATGTACTAGCACTTTTAGGCAAGCGTAGCATATGTTTGGGTATTTTTTATCTCGTTTCAGGCGCTCAGCATGCCGTATTTGACAAAAAATATTTTAATACTCCATAGCTTGTTAACTTCCAAAAACGTCTTTACAGAAACCCAAAAGGCCATGAAAACGTTTTTAAACCAAAAATCTTGCTTCTGACACCAAATGCGAAACTCTGGAAGCCGCGGTATTTCCTCTTTTCTAGAAAATATCTTGGAATGCAAAATTACATTTTAATTGTAAGCCTTTTTATTGCTTTACTACATTTATTTAACGAATAGTTAAGATTACCATTCAATCGTTTCCAAGCTGTAGGGAATAACTTTTTCGCTTTTAATAAATACGGTTGGTTTAAAAATCCCTCTATTTCCTTACCCATTCATTCGAGCTCTTAATAGTCTAAATCAACCTTCTTTTTATGGATGAATGCATCTTCAGTAAAAGGAATCTTCAAATTACTTCACCTTTACGCAATTTCGCAAATTTACGAATTAATTGTCGGATAGGAGTCGCATAATTTGCAGGCTCTACTTGCAAGGATATTTTGGTTAGGCTTTAAAGATTAATACCTAAAAAAATTTATAAAGAAGTGTCTTATGCCGATTTGCATTACGGATTCCGTCTGAATTTTCACCACACAAATAAGCTGTGTTAAATTTCATCCCGGCTGGCAATGAAACCTTTTTAACCTAAACAACAAAGCTAAATGGAATAATAAAAACCCCATGGGCCAAAATTTTTTTTTTTGTGGCGTCAATTTTCTGTCACTTGAACCTCCGTGTTTGCTGTAGATCAAGGCTTTCGCAGCCCATGTAACTTAACAACTATTGCGAAGGCGGATTTTCGTCACAAACTATAAACAATGTCAAGTTTTATTTCTGTTTACTTGATTTTCAAAAAATATGTCATGGATGAAAATTCGAAGGTTTAGACAGACGAATTAGACCACTTTATTGTTGGTGACTTTGTCCTCCTTTTATCATCGCGTACACAAACTAACCCGTTTTAATTGTTAGCACTGCGATGTCCCATTTCTTACGCATCGAAATTTAAGTCTAAAGCATCGCAGATGTCCGTGAAGCATCTCCTGATTCTCTTTTGAAATTCTTGTATTTAGCCAAAGCTCCGTCCATTGGAAATTGGAACATGGAAAAAATACTCGAATATGTTTTGCCTTTTGGTCTAAAATGCTAAAAAAAGTGGACAAAAAAATGACCAGAAATATCCTTCTTCGGTTTTCTCAATTCATGATTAACATCTACTTATAGACGTGATTTGCTATTTTGATGGGATAATGCTGGAGAAAAAAAGGGAGTCTTTTCCCCAAACCCTTGGACTACACTAGTTTTCGGAACACTTACATATGAAAGCACAAGATAGCTGCGGGCTATCGACGCTACTGGGAAGCCATGCTGGCAAAACGGAACTACAAACTATGAGGGATCAGGATCAACATTGGCTGTGCTTCGAAAGCCACCGAGAAGATGAGAATGGCAGTCACCAGTGATTTTCTGTGAGGACCTAATTCCGTCCGAAGTGTTGTGGCCCTAATTAACCACGTTCGGGAGAAGAAAGGGGAGTGGGAGGGAAGTTGGCCGGTCTACAAACTATTCGAGGCTGGCCAGTGCTCTGCTTATTTTCTCATGACATTGCTTCTCAACAGCTTATTAGGGTTCCATTCAGCCGCAACAAAGTCTAATCTGCTCACATGCTCCACAGATCTTTACTTTAGTACAGTAGGCATGTCTACACAGGACAATAGCAAGGTGGCCGAGGGTCACTTTAGTTGCCAATTCCTTTCCAGCAAAACATCAAAGTGTGGCGATTGTCAAGAGCGGAGATGACTTCAGGAATCCTAAAAATTCACTCATTTATAATAGACCTCCTCCTTTTGTTATGTCAAGGCGTAGTAGTCACTCAAAGGTCCAATTCACTCATTTGATCCGCACGCCTACAGAAGTTCCTGAAGGTCATGTCATTATAAAGGAGGTAAAAAAAGCATTTTTTTGATAATATGGCCCTAAATTTTTAGAAATAATTGCTAACCTATTTCTATTGTTGACAGGCTTGACATGTCGGCATTTGACAGGAATTTAATCACCCACAAACACAGTGGAATGGTTAGCCCTAACAAGGAATATTTACTTAACAGGTGACAACTCAAATAACCTTTACCACCTTTTGACAGCGGCCTCCAATTTTCCGTCCAACATTAAAGCTGCCATTTCTCGGAAGCATGTCCACATTTCTTCGCGGACGGAACCGCGCACATCACTGTCAATTAGGGGATCGTGGATTCGGTTGAGAGGTGTCTTTTACATGCCTTGTTTAAATTACCACACACCCTCTGTCCAACTGTTCCATTTCACTACAGTTTTCCCTTATTTTTTTTTCAAAAAAGTCATCGAAATCTCATTCTTAAGGAAGTTTATGTATATATATATGTATGTATAGATGTAGGTATATATAGGCTTAGTTTAGTTCTGACAACACACCGAAGGCAACGGGTGAGAAGGTAGTCAACTGTCAACGCGATGACGCAAGAGGCGGAAAGATTCGCCAAAACTCGGGACACCGTTCTCCTACTGGGATAGCTAGCATTCGAGATAGGGGTTGTAGGGGGATGAAGGAGGGAAAAACAGGGAGAAAGGGGGCAGTTTAGGAAGCATTGAGAAAGGCAGGAGGGAAACAAAAAGAGGGGAAAAGTATATGGACTACAGTGTCCACTCGGGCCGGTCGCCATGTCCTCGTGGACGAGTAGGCTAACCAACCAGATGCAGAAGTTGCTCCTCGAACATGGCAATAATGAGCATGATGCCAGCACCTGTAATTAATCCGGCGTTTTGTATTATCATCTGCACAATCCGACTTTGTCCCGGTTTTACTTGGAATGAATTCAACTCCGGCAGCTTAATTAGTAAAACAAAGGGTTATTTCTACTTTCTTTCTGTCTTAATTCGTTAAATCATCAAGAGGTGCAATTAAACTACGTGGTGTCTAACTGCACTCCCTTGTACATGAAAAAAAAATTGCGAAGTGCCTTAACTTCCACCTGTCAGGGTGGGTGAGCAGGAGTGGGGGAAAGTCTGACCTCTCCTTGCCATTAGAATGATCAACGTCATTGCTGCCCCCTTACCTGCCCCCAATGCCGTCTTATAAGCTGGCTTCCTGTGTGCGGGGATGTGAAAAAGTTCTAAGTGTATCCTTTACCTTTTACGAATAGGCATCACTGGTGCGGAACATGCGTTATTGTGATCTAGAGAAGTAAATTTGGCTGTGTGTTTGGAAAGACGAGAAGTTGGGTAACTGCGTGATTCCATTATTTACCGAACAGGCGTAGTTAAATACACCAAATACATCTTTTTCCTTTTTCTTTTAAGATTCGTCACTTCCTACGAGATTGCTAACTTGTCATCCAAAAAAGGCAGATTATCCGATTGGCTTTGACATCTCAATGACAGTGGGCGGGTGAATAAAACAATCACTTCATATTGCCCATGAACATACTACTAATTAGGAAATAAGCCTACCATATCGACGAGAGCAATATAGACAAAGGTGCCAGCGGTAAAGGCAAATATCCACGCAGAGGCCGCCTCCACATTGCCCACTCCGATTCCCACTAGCATGCCGATTAGACAGAGGATAGAGGAGACCACGTTGAAGAAGAGCGCCTCTTTTATTCCCATGCCAGTTTTTAGAAGAACCGCGAAATCACCTGAAGTGAAATGATAGTTAATGATACTCAGCGTGGCTGTAAAGCGTCTGGTGTAAATTCCTAAAGGCACTCCACCCTATGATACCGCCGCACATTTAAAGTGGTGACTCTTCCACTCTCTCTGTATCTCTTTTTGTGTGTGTGTGGAGAGTAAATGGTCTCCTTGGGACCACGACATGCTTACGTGGCAGGACATTTGTGACCAGACAACACCTGATGTAGGCGCGTATCCCCCTTAAATTTATGCCTTGACTAGCAAGGGGATCGACCCCTCTCCCCAAATACAACGTACCGAGTTCATGAGGTAGTTCATGGCAGAAGACAGCGACAGTTGTACTAATGCCACCAGCGATACTATCGGCAAAGGCAACACCTGAAAAATAGGAAAAACAGGGAGAGAATAAAATAAATGATGACGACCCCATTAAAATCCCCTCACACGGGATCATACATACACGAGGAAACCTAATCGTTGGCCTCGTGAAGTCCTAACAACTTCCGGCAATTAGGCCTTTAGAGCAGGGAAAATTTCCTGGTATTAGCTTTCACCGAAACATAAATTACCTACTTCGAATTCAATGACCAAATTGTTCTTCCACTATCTGCATATGACAGATTAATGGGGTGTGAAAAAGGAGCAAAATTGATCTGTCAACAAAGGAAATAACATTGTGCCTCTTAAATAGCATCTTAGTGGTTATAAAATACTCTCTGCTCTAATTTATGTGAGATTGCTACGACCTTTACATCGGTTGCTCATCACGACTTACAATTTACTCGAACCGACAACTAACGTGTCAGGGGAAAGGAAAAAATTGAGGATCTTACCGATTGCCATTCCATCTGTGAAGTTATGCAAGCCATCACCCATGATCACCATCCATGCCACTGATGCCATTGACGTAGAAAGCTACAAAAAAAGATGATGTTTTATACAAAACCGTTGTCAACTCTCTCCCCCATCACCACCACCTCTCTTTCTGGTGGGAGAGGGGAATGGGCGATTAGCAAGGTGAGTTGCTTGGTTAGCAAGGTGTAGTTTAGTCTTCCTTACTTTGATCAAACGGACTAGCTAAAAGGTGTCAAAAAATAGGGCTAGATTAGAAAAGGTCAAGGAAGGTCATTTTTTTTACTCCTGCTTCAACAAGTGGTAGAATTCCTCAAAGTCTACCATCCAACTTACATTATGTGAGTGACCATGAGCACCCATAGTTATCTCCTTTGTTGTGATTGTACTGTCGTCCGCGATTGGATCATGTGAATGACCGTGTCCGTGACCTGGCTTATGTGCGTCCTCCATGTCCCCCTTAGAGTCACTGATGACCTTGATTTCTGGCATAGGTTTGAGTCCTGGCACTTGGAGGGTCGGTCCACTTGATGTCTTGCTGCGTTGCTCCTCCTCTTCATCCTCAGCCTCGCCTTCCTCGATGTAGGCGTTCAACACATCCACCGTCTTCATGGCTGGAGGGAGAGAGAGACAGAAGTTAACATTTAGTTTTTTATTGCACTGATTTTTAAATTGTGAGGGTCCTTTTTGCCATGACCGCGATATAGTTTGACAGACACGAAGTGTGCATGTGTAAATTGGCTGTCATATCACATCCGCTCACTGTGCTGGTGCCAAGCAGTTGAACTTTCACCCTCTAAATAGCCTTTAGGCAAGAACAAAAGAAAAAAAAGTGTCCTAATATCTCCCCGCTTTCCGGTTTTTTTATGGATGTGTGACATTTAAAAGCCCCTTAAGTCCTCTATACTAGAAGTTTTGAACATCCATTAGGTCGTATCCCTAAGTGATCGGGGGGGGGGGGGGTGGAGAGGCGGTTGAGAGGTTTCCACTTCGATTAACCTCCAGATGGCAGTGCTTAGTAGGCCTGCCCTTAAACTGTCAAGTAGGTAACTTTTAAACTAATCTCAGGAGCCCAGATGATATGTGTGTGTGTGCGTGCCAGCTGTAAAAAAGTACTTTAAAAGGATAATTAGCCTGTTTTTCATAAATCCAGCGACGTCATTAAAGAGATGGTGTAAGCGCCTACCATCAAGGATCAACAAAAAAAGACAAAGTTGTCTAATTAGAAGACACCTTTGGCAGTTAGACCAGTGGTGAGAATGTCATCGGCAATTATGGAGGGCGCCCGTGAAGTTCTTCGAATATTGCCAATCTCAGGAGTTGGTGGAAGGCGTGAACCCCGACGAAAGGAGGAGTTCACCGAGATGGATTCACGGAAGGTGCTAAGGCGACGAATACCTCCGGAGGATCTTCGAGGATTTTTTAAAATTCTTTCACGCTCCTCCTACACAGAGACAAGAGGAGCAAACTGCTTAACTGACATTTTTGACCTTGACATGTCATTATGCTCTTTAAAAGCAACACACCTTTTCAGCCGCCTTCTCCGTGCGGTACTCCGAAATGGTACCGACCAATTTCTCGGCAAGGAAGAAAAAGTAGATACCACCTAACCCCAGTAGGCCTTTTAGAACGGCAATACGCTCTTCGGCAGCTTCTTCGCCTCCTCCTTCATCGTGGGAATGTCCATGACTACCTGATATTGCCTTGGGGATAATTGAAAGCGTATTATTATTGACAAGGCAACACCGGCCGTCTACTGTACCCACAAATCACCCAAATTACTGTCTGGTATAATGGGAAAAGCTACTGCCTCGATTCCACATCTCCAGACAGAAGAAAAAAGCGAAAGGATTTGCCCAGCAATCACCCAGAATGTCAGGGCTGTCAAAAGACAACTTCCAAGGAGTCGGAATATTTTGCAAGTAGCACACAAGGAAGAGTTCCCAGTGAACTTACATGAGGTAAAAGGTGTAGAAATGCATCACCGGTTAGACATCCAACTGCCAATGCCACAAGAAATTGAATGACATTATTGTAGTAACTCTTGTTGACTAATGGCACCACTGCCACGCCAAGCAGTCCCACAGCACTGATTATCACCACAGCAACGACTGAGGCGATCCATACTGGTTGAGGAGATTTCCACCAAGGAGAAGGAAAAAAAGAAACAATAAAATAAGCTACTAATGTCATATGACAGTGACAGGTGATGGCAGTAAAATTTGTATTGTTCCATCGTCTACTTTTTGCTGCTTTTCACAGCCCTTGACGAAAGTTGGCACCGGCTAATCAACATTCCTTCTAATAGCAATTAATTTAGCAGTCACACCCACACTTTGCCTCCTTACTCAACCTCCCCGGCTCTCTTATTTCACTCACCCATCGGTTTCACCGAAAATGCTCCAGAGTGTGCCTCAATTCCGTGGGTGGGATCGTCACTTGCTGCCTGAAACGGGAAGCCCCAAAATTTAGCAGGTTACCAGCCTCTGCAAGGTGGGAAGAGTAAGTCGGACAGAATTACTTACAGGTGCATGGAAGGTGGAGATAAATTCGTACAAGCCTTGACAGGTTATTCTCGGACCAGATTCATTCTTTCCTTTGACAAAGGCAGCTAGATCGTGGTCGGTGATTTGCTACAAAAAGGAAAAAAGGAAAATTTTAAGGGGTAGGAAGAGGAGAAGAGTCTGCAAAACTAAAAGAGAAAGAGATGGGTGTACTAACAGAGCCCGTTTCATTGATCATCTGTTGGACTTCTGGTGTGGACATAGACAGTGTGCGAAGGTCGAAGACTGGAGGAGCGGAACCAGAAGCCCTGGGCGCGCACACCGTCTGTCCATCAGCAGCAGCGGCAATTAGATAGAGCACTCCCAGAAATATCCAACAACCGGTATGTCTGCAGTTTGCGCACATTTTCTTGCCTCCTTCCAGTTCCGCAATTAGGGCTTTTATATACTCGTGTTCAATTGGAGGTGTCTAATGACCGGAAGTGACAGTGATGGCTCGTCTAGAGACTGTGTTTGTGCGTGTATGTGTTTGTGTGTATGGGTGAGTGTGTGGATAAGGGTAGAAGGAGTTGTCAACAGAACCAGTGCTGTTAAAATGCCTCATGGTGTATTTATATACCCACGACTGCGTGCACACGTGCCTGTGTGCTTCCGTTGGTGTACAGTGGAAGTCAATAGGGCACACACATTGTCTACGTGCGTGCAACCCTCTGTGCGAATGTATGTGAAAGCGTGCGTGTGTTTGGAGGTGTGCAAGGCTTTGCAAAAGTGACTAAATAGCATAACTTGACCTCTGCACTTGTCTACCTCCAAATGTCCTTCAATGGGAAGAGGCTTGGCCATCGTAGAGAAAAGTAAGAAAGAATGGAAGAGTTCAAATTCTGCTGCTTTTGTAGTGCAGATAAAATATACGATAAAATTATTGAATGGAAATTATTCTGCTTACATTTAGATTTAGAAAGAAAAAAAAACAAGTAGACTTTAAACTCTCGCCATTAGGAGGTCGTTGCAAACATTGACGTGATGATTGTCTACGGCTTCTGTTCATGCTTTAGCTGAAAAAGGGAAAAAAACATAGGACATAAAGATTAGAATTATCCTATAAATGATTTGTTGAAAAAGAGCAGACAAAAGGCTGTTCTGAACAATTGAAAAAAATAGATGGTTGACCTTCACGCTAACTACGACTGGCCAATCAGGAGAGGGCAGCTTAAGTCATCAAACTTACTTCATTTTAAAGCCATTTTAAACTATACTGGTTTGTGAATGTTTGGCATATTAGAGGGATTAAGCAAAATTTAAACGGAAAAATGCAGGAAATATCACAACTGATGCCAACTTTGCCAAATCAGGATGATCACAGTGGATTGGCCGCATTCTAAAATCGTGCATCCCGCCACCTTGCTTT